GAACATTGCTCAACATCATGAAAATTAAACCTTATTTTCAATAAGCAATCCTGAAAAATATTTGGGGTGCTTAACTTTTTTCCAGGTGTATATATCAATAACCTGGTTGAAAATATATGTTTATTATCATTCTTTATAACATAGAAATAATTTAAGATTTCTAAATATATTTCATAATAAGATACACCTTTATTTCTAATTACACACACATATACTATCTCTAAACGGATTTACAGTGATTCTGATAATAAAAAAAACATTTATATAAATAGCCTATCACTTCAAAATACCTCAATTTACAGTTACAATTGTGGTAAAGTGTCACCGTAAAACAGGAGGTATTTTTAACAAGTTACTTATTCCTCCCCGAGATGATATGCATTTACAGTCAGAGAAATTTTGTAGAATGTTTAGTCATGTAGCCTTCCATTATCTTACAAAAAACAATGGCTTTCAGTCTTCATCCAGTTTTTTAATTAGAAAACCTGAATACCACTTACTTGTAGGCTGTTTTACAATGGTCGCCAGTGGTGAAAAAATAAAGCATCAGTATCTAAACTGTTTAAGTAAGTTTTCATACTGAGTGACAAATAGTGATTATTGTATTTTCTTTAAACAAATGTTTAACTATGTTTTCCTTTTCTATAACATTTTTTACATAATTTAGATCTTTTTTACACTATCTTATGTCATCATTTTTAAACATATATTGTAATTTAAAAGAAAGTTAAAGATCAATGAAACAAATGCTTTTAGTATAAGTACTAAGTTCTTCTATTCTTTGAGTTTAGCAAAACGAATTTTCACAAAATCTACACATAACACGAGAATAAATTTCACCTACGTGTAAGATATCATGAATGGTTTGCATATACATAGTATTACTTCCAGTAATAACACCCGTTCCAAGTTGCTGTGCAAGAAGATATGTAGAGATGCTGGCTATGTACACCACCACTAGGATGAATGTAAAGAACCACCAGATGGAGTGGACAATTCGTGTTGACACGGATCTGAAGAAAAACAAAGTATAATTTTCAGCATAAATCTTTGTTCTTATGAAAAGAAATTATAAAAAAAATTTTCTTTTCTTTTCATTTCATTGGTGAACACTAGCAGCTTTTTTTATTTGATGAAGTATCATGATTCATAAAGTAAGGTTAATCTGTAATGACTATATTATAATTTCTGCATGGATTTTGGCTAACAGATTCCAAGAACAAAATAGTTTGGTATATAAGATCATAGTTTAGGATAAAGTTCCAGTGGAAGTTCTAGCGAAAATAACCAATTTCAGTGAGAAATCATGAGGCTATGTTTATTCTTGTATTCAACTCATTTACAGTTTAACCCCTCACCTCTGAAAAGGACCATATGTTACTTTAGTAAATAATGCATTTTTAAATACCATACACATACATTATTTTTTATTTAAAAAAATACCATATGTTACTTGAGGAAAATAACAACTGTTCAAATATAGTATATCAATTTCTATAAAAAATAAAAAAGACCACGTGTTACCTGTGGTAAATATAAAGCTCAAATGTCATTCATAGACATTAGTTTTAGAAAAGTTATTGAATTATATAGTCTTATTCTGCTTAAAATCAAAAATATTTGACCAAAATTATTTTTACATATACTTTTAAGATGGTGTTTTAAAGTTTTCATTGCTCAGTTTGGAAAAGGATAAGTAGTTCAGAGTTCAACATTACAAGGTTTTATTCTAACAGTTTACATTTCTTATGACTTACTTAGCATATATTCCTGTGTTTCTGAAGAACAAAGAAGCTAGGGTAACCCATAAGCTTGTTGAAAATGTAAAGCAAGGTTTTGATTTGTTGGTTTCAGATGTTGATTTCTCAGAAGGAACAGTGAAATGACTGCTAATAAAAAGTAAGATGCTCATACCAAGGTAGGCTAGACAAAGACAAATCCATACATCATATGAAAATGGTTGCAAAAAAAACAAGGGAGACATATGGGCCTTTGGCACTGTTTTCTTGGCCAACATGGCAATGCCTACAGTCATGAATGATTTGGTGAAATGGACAACTTGAGCCCTTTTAGATGTCACTGTCAATGGAGCAATAACCATATCAACTTCCTGAAAAAAATAATATAAAAAAAAATTCAACATTTTTCTTAATATTAAAAATACTTAACTTATGAATCACAAAGTACAGTAAAAGAATACTTGAAAAAACAGACCAAAAGACAAAAAATTTAATTAATAACAAGAGTTTTCAAATAATTAATCTCAAACCACTCAAACTGTATGGGAAGCTCAGTAAAACCTAATCAAAACAAGTACTGGACACATTAACAAGAAGTAAATCTTCAAATACACAACCTCCAAATGAATAATGCATCCAGTTACAAGAAGTAAATCTCCAAATACAAACTCTTCAAACAAGTACTGGACACATTAACAAGAAGTAAATCCTCAACCACATACCCATTAAAGATCCTACGTGTGTCTAGTTTCCTGTACATCAACTTCCATTTCTTAGCACCCTCATTCACAATAAAAATGGCAAGTTTGAATGCAAGACATTTCCTTAAAAAACAAACAAAAAGAAAACTTTCCCAGGTTTATATTTTAATTTTGATAGTTTTTATACCCATTTTTTATTATAAGAAAAACCTGTGAAAATACTGGTCCATCAAGATCACAAAATATCCAGTACATATAATGTTTTACATAAAGAATTGGAAAACATTAAAAATGTCTTTGTATTAGGCAATATGAATACAATCTCCATATCCCTGGCTGTGAACCTCTCACTGCCCAACAGATCCCCACCTTCTGTGTTGTCATCAACCAACAGCACTTCCAGTCTCTCTCTCTGCAAATCACATATTGTCTCATCCCGTCTTGAACCCACCAGACCACTCACCACCAATCATCCTTATTCATGCATGACTTCTGTCTGCAGCAGCAATGAGAAAGAAGTTATGGTCCTTGGCAGCATCTGAAAAAGTCTAACATCCTGGAAAGAACTTCTCGTAGACCCAACAACTCTCTCTGAAAAAGCTCTCACACCTAAGTGTTTAATTCTTTCTCCTGATCAAAGACTCTTTGACTCACATAAAATACCAATTTCACCACCTAAGTGAATGATGGTCACTCTTACTACAAAACAAGGGATGTTGCACAGTCTTTTTCATGAGAAAGTATGTGTAAAAAATATCTGACTGACCCAGTTCCATCAGTGAGATGATTTTAGTAGTTTGCTTGGCTAACATTCTATAGTAAGAAATCAATATTTAATTTATGTAACAAACTTAAAAGCAAAGTGCAATTTACAATACAGGGATCCCTCGATATATGCGCATTCGATTAACGAGTTTTCGTTTAGTGCGCTTACATTTTTTTATAACCAATATTCGATTAGTGCGTGCATAATACTCGATTAGTGTGGTAACACACATTTCATTTTAACCATAGTAATTGAAAAGTAAGTTTTAGGCACCGAAATTAATTTAAAAAAAAATTAAAAATAGAAAATGGGTAACTATTTTTACTTGTCAAGTTATTACTAGAGTGTCCACCCCGGGG